CGTTGGGGCGGGGGGGGGGGGGGGGGGAGATGGCTAGATTGTAGATCCCAGGGGTGAAAAGACAGACCTTCTCTGGGTGCTATTAGGCTGTTATTCAGGTGACAGACAGCTTCAGAATGACCACACATTGAATTCAGAGCAGGAGATAAAACCAAAGCTTTCAGAGTGAGCCAGGCTCAGAACAGCAATAGCACACCAGACAAGAGGATCAAAAATTCCAGGGAGGTCTGGGGTATAAAGCAAGACACTGTCCCCACCCCACCCCCATACACACAAAGGTGGCAGTGACAGTGAAATCTAATCTGTGTGTTCCTATTTTACTAAAGAAGCTCATGTGTGTGTTATCACACACATGATGAAAAGTGGGTTTATAAATGGCTTTTCTTCTCTCTTGCCCCTCCCCTTTCAAAAATCCCAAAAGAAAGTTTCCCCTTAGTTCTTGTTTTGGAAAGATGAAGCTAAGGTTTTCTTTAAGTGATGCTCAATCAGCCATACTGTGATGAGCAATCAAGTTCTCTCGTGAACCCCTGGATCTCCCCTGCTACCAAGAAGAGGGTGCAATTGGTTTACAAGGGGTGGGCAAGCATTTCCCTATTTCCAGGTTCAAGTGATGGATCTCAAGAGAATGAAGACAAGTGCTCGATTGTGCATACCCACCCACAGGTGCTCACTTGTCCATATATACCCACCCACAGGTGCTCACTTGTGCATAGCCACCTGCAGGTGCTCACTTGTCCATACCCACCCACAGGTGCTCACTTGTGAATACCCACCCACAGGTGCTCACTTGTGCATATCCACCCACAGGCAGGTGCTCACTTGTGCATACCCACCTGCAGGTGCTCTTGTCCATACCCAGCTGTAGGTGTTCAGTTTGTATTGGAGATGGGGGATCCACAGCTGTCCCTGGATTCCATGTTGGGCAAATCAAAATTTTCCCATAGATGTCCCATAGCAGTTGGTAGACCTCTCGCCAGCGTCTCTGGATAAGGAAACAAATGCTACTTCGATCCTCTCCTGAAGGACATTCAATGCACCTGTTCCCCTGGGACCCTGGGACCATGAACCCTGAAATAGCTCCCACTCATTATGTCCATCACGGTGTCACATTGTCACTTGAACCTTCCACAGTTCCCAGCATTTTCACAACCTTTGCTCTGTTTCGTTGTCCAGTTTTGGTATGAATGGGCCCTGGCTGGGTAATCTTCATTCTTATCTACTCATTCCAGGCCAAAGACTCAGAACAAAAGCAAAAGTTGAGTGCATCCTATTTTCTTTCCATGTTTACATACCAAGAGATAATGATTCAGGACATAAAGCAGAGCTTATATAGTCTAGACACACACACACAAAAAGACTGTAGCTAACATCCTGCTCTACTATAGGCTATGGTGATGATGCCAGTAGAGGATTGGTAGATGCTCCAGGCAAAAGGAAACTACAAAAGACCTGTTCCTGTATAGACTACATTTCTGTTGCTGCTTCTGCTCTTGATATTTTTTCATTATTTTCCCTTTGCTTACCCCTAACTGTTTAGCATTAATATAATAATTGGAAAGAAATGTACTATGGAATGTATACATAATCTTCAGCCAGTATAGATAATCCTTTTAGGATTTAATTTACCTCCCACAAGAAATGCTAACCTATGACAACAGCCAATTGCAGCCAAACTGGAACCTGAGGTCACTGTAACCTGCTCAGAGCTGTGCAATGCTAGACGTCCCCCTTTCCTTAAGCATACACCTCACCTGTAACACCTGCCTGGGAGTCTCTCCCCACTGGGAGGGTAATGGTAGAGGTGCTTGGAATAGAATAATAAACTCCATGTTAAGCACTACCTGAACAAATAATCGCTCTCATTATAGAGGTCAGGGCTCTACAACAGTCCCTCTGTCACATAATCAAAGGCTTACTTTGCTGTAGCCAGCTGCAGTTTTGTCTTTTGACTCTGTCATGTTCTTTCAATTAGGCTATGTTCTATTTTGTGTCCTCTTTTTTTTTCTCGACAAACTGCATATAAATTCAAGGTGTCTTTCTGGCAAGGACATCAGAAAGATGGACTGAGGGGGGACCTTTATCAGTCCCAGGACTGTCAGGAGATAATGACACAGCCCCATGCTTGATGTGTTGTTCTTCCTGCTTTAGATTCGGAATCTGGCAGCCAATTTATGTGTGGACAGCAAGCATGGAGCCACGGGGACCGAGCTGAGGCTGGACATCTGTGTCAAAGATGGTTCCGAAAGGACATGGTCTCATGAACAGGTGAGTCATGGGAATGGAGGCTAGCGGGGAAGGGTGGATGGGAAGAAGTATCTCAGTGACACATTTAGGACTTGGGTGAAGTCTGTCACCAAGCAGATCCCTAGGTGGTGAGCATGGTCCACCTCTGCTTCTGTTCCTTGTCAGAGGAATTGTCACAATCAACCAAGATAACGAATCACAACACACTTCAACTTGGAGAGCAAGGATTGTGTGATAGCTCAGACAGTGAAGTGCATGCCTTGCACACGTGAGAACTGGAGTTTGGTCTTCTAGAACCCATATCTTTGAGGCTGAGTATGTTGGCATGTGCTTATAATCCTAAGTCTGGTGAGGCAGAGGCAGGCAGATCAATGGGGATAGCTAGACAACCAGCCTAGTCTACCTACATGGTGTGTTCCAGGCTAGCAAGACTGTCCAAGGAAGAGGTAGACAGCAGCTGTGGAATGATACTTGAGGTTGTCATCTGACCTCAACATTTATGTGTGCATGTCTATGTGTGCCCCCTCATACACACACACACACACACACACACACACACACAGAGAGAGAGAGAGAGAGAGAGAGAGAGAGGGGGGGGGAGAGAGAGAGGGAGGGAGAGAGAGAGAGAGAGAGCTTTAGAATGAGAGTTGAATATGACATGAAAGCAGAAAGGCAACTATTGCTAGGACAGTAGTGATCAGCAATAAGGAGCTAAAACCATGAAGAGGGGAGTGGAGTGAGGATAAGCTTGCCTAGCAAGCCCAAGGACCTGGGTTCAGTTCTCAGCTCCAGACAAACAAACAAAAAAGAACAAAGTCTGTTGATAAATGGCACAATGAAGTCCATTATTTTGTGTGCTAACCTGTTTGTTTGTATGTGCACATGTGTACATGTGGGTACATACACCTATACCCATGCAAACAGGCCAGAAGAAGACACCACAGTTCTTCTCTAGATCTCCCCCACCTATTCTTTCGGGAGTCTCCCCTGATATTGGAGCTTGAATTTCTCCCTAGGCTGAGCATCAAAAAGTACTAGCAGCCCCCTGTGTCTACCTCACTCCCTCAGAGCTGGAGTCACAGGCACAGGCTTGTGCATAACTCTGGGGCCCACACTCTGGCCCTCCTGATTGTGCAAGAAGACCTCTTAACCACTGAGCCCTCTCTACAGACCCTTGCACACTAACTCTGAAAACTAGCATTTAAATAAAAAAGATAGTAGACTCCTAAGGTGTGACCTTCGCTTACTGTCTTCCCCCACATCAGCAGTTTTTAAGACAAACCAGGAAAGTGCCGGGGAATTCAACCCACAAAATCTTTTCAGAAAGGGCTCTGTTTCATGTTTGAGACTTCACCTGGCCTTAATATTCCCTCCTGGCTGTGTATCTAAATTAATGCACGGACCTCTTGTTTCAATGGCAGTTTTTAGTCATGCGTGTGAAGGACAGCCGAGGAAGCAGCATCCCAACATGGACTTCATAAGACATTTTCAGATGATGCTTGGCTTTGATTCAAAGATATTTCCATGCTGCTCCAGTTAAGGACAGTGTGACATCTATAATCCAACTTAAAGCCTGAAAGTCTTTGGAAAGGGTCTCTCCTGGAATTGTGCTACCTGAGTAAGAGTAATTACAGGGTTGAGGATGGCATGGCCCTTTGGTGTTTCAGTTTTGCATAATGAAATATTTCCATTAGGAAGTATAAGATGTACCCACAAATTCCACAAGGATCAGCCATTGTTAAAGTTACAAAGAAAAACAGCTGATAACTACCCTGAAGCCTTTCCCATCCTCCTCTCCTATGCAGAAGGAAAAACCCACAGTCGGGGCAGTGTGCGCTCACAGTGTTCTCTGTTTCTCAGAATGGACCGTAATAACTGCCTTGGGAAAACAAAAGCAAGTAAGCAAGCACTTTCCCTGTTGGCATAGCTGCTGTATCCAAGCTATATTCCTCAATGTCTGCCTTGCATACTGACCAGGAGTACGCTCAGTTGCAGCATCCCTGTGCTTTGGAGAGATGCACACATTCCACACAGAAGAATCTTGACAAAAATGAACCATTGATCAATGCTCCTACCCAACCTAAGGTCCTTAAGGAGTTGTTGAAGTGCACTTCTCTTCTCCCTACTTTCTCTTCCTGCTCCTCCTCCATCCTGAATTACAACAGGAGCTTTGGGATGCTTGGAAAGCAACGAGTTCAAAAGCCAGTCAAGAATGAATCCCATAAGGTAACACCAACCTCTTCCAACACCCTCCAAACAGCTACCTATCCAATAGTGTTCTAGAAAGATGGAAGGCCTTAGAGTCAGGCCAACATGGACTTCACTTTGAGACAAGCAGCCTTGTTCAATTCTTCTAGGCCAGAGGTTCTCCGTCATCAAATAAGGACAAAATCCCCACCTCCTGTATGGGGTTTTCGGAGAAGAAATGATGCCTGGGCTGTAACATTAATTCCCACATGAAGTCAACTCAGCCACTGTACTTTCCCTTCTCTACACACTCTACACACACACACACACACACACACACACACACACACACACACAGCAACATGATAATAACACTACTAAGCATGCACGCATGCCATGCTCTCGGGTTCGAGGTTGCTGTGACACGGATGCTTTGGTCTATTCCCAACATAGTCATTCACTCCAACATATCCTACAGGATGGACAATTACCAGAACATTCTGCAGCTCTAGGATGTGGCGATAACTACAAAGTTTCAGATGGGAACTCACTGGCTTCCTCCTTCCTCTGTGTCCTGGGATAAGCACCTCTAGGGTTGCTGAACATCAGAGTAATATGGTTGGCTGGCACTTCCAACAAGCAGACCGGCCTCCAGCCCAAGAGCAAGTAAGAACACTCAAGAGGTTATCAGTAAGACCAGCATTTGGAGATTTAAGAAAAATAGTTTCTAAAATTAAAGAGAGAAGCTATAAGGGAAAATGTCTCTTGGGCTAAATTTATCTCCTCTTTTCAGCCCAATCAGGAAGCAAATTTAGACAGCTTACAAGGACACACATCTGAATACCTGAACCAGGTTTAATATTTCTAAACAGGAAAATTCTAGAATGGAGTCTGATCTCACATGATTTTTTTATTTGACAGATAAAGATGAACACTAGCAAACGAAAATATATTGCATACTTTTATTGATTGCTCATTTACCTTGGGCTAAGCTGGGAAAAAAAATCTATGGCCTGTAATTTACAAAATGATCACCAGAGGGCAGCACCAGACAAGAAGACAACGCCACATAGGCAGGAAATTTTATATATATATATCCCTGATGTTAATACAGCTCTTTTAAAAAAAGATTTCTGGTCTCTGGAGTCCTAAGGCTGAAACTACGAAGAGATTAAAGGTTGGAGGGAGGAGAAACTTGAATCCTGCTTGAAACGTGTGTCACCTTTTGACTTGGTACAGGCAAATTCATTTTACAGTAACTAATGCAAGCCTTATTCAATGCTTTGCTTAATGACTCGTACGTTATAATTCACTCTTTTACATTTAGATTAAAATTCATGGATGAGAAGTACCTCAGGCCATGGAAATTATGGATATTCCTTTTAATTCCAAAGCAGTCCAACTGACTAAATGAATAAACAAACTTGTTACAAAGGCAACAAAGAAGGGTCCACTGAAGCACGCCTTTCTAAGGGAAACGTTTTACCGCAGAACATTAGCCAGTACTAATCCGGCTTCTGCGAGGAAAGCAGGCCTATGATTCATCCTTCCGGGGTCATCTGCTGAGCTGTCTGCTATCACTCTAGCATTGTGTGCTGGCTCCCGGTTTCCTCTAGGGATCAAGAAAGAAAAAGAAAAATAGATCCTAATATTAGTGTAAGATCTGGAAGGCAACTGCCCAGCCCCCGTTATGAGTACAGGGTGGGGGTGAGGGGGGTAGGGCGGGTCGGAAGAGAGGAGGCGGGCTCCGCCTGGCCTAGTTCGGCTGTTCTCTCTGCAGGCCCAGCAGCAGGCACTGGGCTCTTGCTGGGAGGAAGCTTTGCAGGCCTTCCCACCCTGCTGAGCAAGCAGACTTAACTTTCTCTTTCCAAGGTCTGTAGTGGGACACACACAAACAGAAATCCAAACAAGTCAATGCACGCAGAGAAAGGACACACGCCTTTCTTTGGGGATAAGCCATCTCAATACAGCATTCTAATGAGTACAAACTGTAGGGAGAAACCTGTTCTAACTCAGATTTCTGCAAATTACGTAACAGTAAAATAAAATGTAACTACCCACAGGGAGAGAAATAAAATGCTTTTCAATTGTCTCATCAGGTTGCCAGATTAAGATAAGTGGATTTGCAGTTCCAATCTGGAGAACTTATTTGTATAATATAATACACTACAGACCCAGGCAATGTTACACACACCGCACGAATATGAAAGCAAGGAAATGGGTCATGACTCAAAATCTATATTTTAAAGCATCGCTCAAAAGAAGAAAGGAGCGAAATTGACATCCATTTGCTTTTTAAAAGAGTGATGATTGGAGCTTGAAAAGAAAACAAAAAGCATCAGGGGCTCTTATTAAGAAAATCTAGATACTTCTGGCTAGTAAGAACCGCCCAGGAGTGGGAGGCAGATTGTGAATGTCACAGTAAGTCGCTAAACAGTGAGATCCCTTCACAATGCTTGCTTGTTTCTGCTCTGGCAAAAATGTGCCTAACGAATGATCCGTTTGACATGACCATTGGGGATGATAAATGGCAACCGGAAGCATTTCAAAGACATAGAGAGGGAAAAAACTGACATTGGAAGGTGCAGAAAAATAAAACAATTGGCATAAATTGAAGATTTATCACCCGGGGCCCGGGATTGCAATCACCAGGTAATAGTAACAAGAATAATACAGAGTACCTTGTGAAAATTTCCTTCTAGCAATCAATCTGCAAATGCAAGAAATACCATTACCCTGTAATATCAAACAGAGAAACAGGAAACAAAAGTCGCCTAATTGTGCCCAGGTACAAGTGTGACAGCCAGTGACGTCTAAGAGAGAGATTTGCTGTCGCTCAGGCACTCTTAGGGCCTTAACAGATACAGTTAGTGAAAAGTAGGAGAAAATGGAATAAAAGAAGCCATGCCGCTTGAGGAAGAAGTCGCATCTGTGGAATGAAAGTCTTCGCTAGGTGGGGATTACAATTCCTTCCATCTTTAGGCTTCTGAGTATATAAAAACTGAGACAGAGAGAGAGAAGCTGGGCACAGCATCCCACACCTGCCATGGTGACAGACAGTCTTCTCTAATAAGAGTGCAGCCCCTGGTAAATTGATCACTCTCACTCTCTGGTGGAAGACTTTGGGAAAAGTTGAGGGAGGGTGAAAATGGTCAAAGCACATTGCATGCAACCCTGGAAGAAATAAGAAGAGGAAGCAAGAGAAAAGAGAAAGAGAACAGGAATGAGAGAGGGGGAGAAAGAGGAAGGGGAAAGAGAGAAATGAGAGAGGTAGCTGAATAGAAGCATGGCTGTAAGCTGTGTTCCTCCATAGCCGCCCGCTCCGCCCCTCCCCCAAGCTCCCACCTTGAATTCCTGCCCTCCCTTCGCCTTGATGACGAACTGCAGTCTGTGAGCCAAATGAGCCCTTCCCTCCCTAAAGTTAAACAAGTAAATGAACATTTTAAAAAGTCTAGTTGATGTGTCATTGTCAAGCTGACTGCATTTGGAATCACCCATAAACACACCTCAGACAGCGGCTGGTGGCTGTGTGGCTTTTCCTGAGAGGTTTGACTGGGAGGGGAATCCCCAGTGAGAAGTACAGGGACCTCTAGCAGTCTGGCGGGAGCATGAGGAAGTGGGTTTTTCGGAACCCATTTCCTGTGGTGGGATACCTTGCTCAGCCGGGCCTTGGGGTGCGGGGGCTCAGCCTTGGAGGGATGGGGGGGCCTTGGCCCTCAACTTGGTATGCCAGACTTTGTTGACTCCCCAGGGAAGTCTGAGGAGTAGATGGTGGGGGGCTGTAGCGGGGAGAAAAGGAGAGGGAGTGGGAATTGGGGTTAGTATGTAAAATAAATAAATTAATTAATTAATTAATTAATTTTTTAGGATAAAAAAAGAAAATTCTCTTTCTCAACAGGGATGCTGTTGGTTAATTGAACACATTGTAAAGTTGATTTAGGGCATCCTAAGAAGCATTTGTAATACAGAGTAAGATGGATAACACAGATGAGGATAGGAAACAATGGATGCATACTGAAGTATTAAATGGAGTTGAGTTATCTATCATTCCATGAAACTCTTGCTTCAGGTTGGAAGTCGAGGATCTGTAAGTGTGGGCTGTACTTCTTATTGTGAGTTACAATCTAAAACTGTCTATATTGCCCCACAGAGTTGCTCTTACCTACGCTAAAAAATTAATTTGCCTATTCTTTACTTTATTGAGCTTGGCTTTCCTTTAAATTGGATTTTTCAAGGTGCGAGCATCAATCCAGCTCAACTTTAAGGCTTGTCCTTTGGCAGTTAATCTGCTCATTAGGCTACTGCTGCAGTCCTTGATCCAGGAACATTTTATCTACATGACAAGTGCTAAGAGTTTTATTAAACGCTCCTCTCCTTCCTTCCACCCACCTCCCTCTCGCCTCTCTCATCTTTCATCCTTCCCTCTCCTCTTCCTTCACCTTCAAAACACCTTTCTCTCTCCCTCCCTTCCACCCTGTTGGTCCCTTTCTCCTTCCTTACTGGAAATGACTCATTTGCACTTGTACCTGTCTGGCCACAGGTCCAGCTGTCCCACCCCTTTGAAGCACGCCCTTTCAATGCCTCCATTGTGCTGAGGGAGACTTCTTCCTTGTTTTCACAAAAGGCCAGCTCTGCATTGTTAAGACATCTCTCACCAAGCTCTGGAACCTTTCCCCCAACACTGAACTCACTGCAGCTTTTCTGCTACTGTTGTTTTGCTAGCTCTTTACTTTTGGGTGGAGAGAAGACATTCGACCTGGAGAGCCTCTGCACACCCGAAAATTCTGCTTCGATGCGATCTCACACAGCAGCCCCGTCACGCTCTATGACTGTCATGGCATGAAAGGGAACCAGCTCTGGGGATACCGGAAGGTGAGAGGTGATTCTGTGGTCATTCTCAGATTATCATGTAGGGTTGGGTTTTTATGTGTTTGTTTGTTTGTTTTACTTTTTTGGCTCTTTTGGGGGGCCCACCATCCAGCTCCCAAATAAATACACACATGGAGGCTTATTCTTTGTTTTAAATGCCTGGCCTTAGCTTGGCTTGTTTCTAGCCAGCTTTTCTTAACTTAAATTACCCCATCTACCTTTGCCTCTGGGTTTTTATCTTTCTATATACCCTTCTTTACTTCTTGCTCTATGTCTTGCTGTGTAGCTGGGTAGCTGGCCCCTGATGTCCTTTTCTTATTCTTCATTCTCTCCTCCCAGATTTCTCCCCTATTTATTTTCTCTGCATGCCAATCCCGTCTATCCTTTCTCTGCCTTTCAATTGGCCTCTCAGTTCTTTGTTAGACCATCAGGTGTTTTAGAAAGGCAAAGTAACACAGCCTCACAGAATTAAACAAATGCAACATAAAAGAATGCAATGCATCTTTGCATCATTAAACAAATGTTCCACAGCATAAGCAAATGTAACTCATCTTAAAATAATATTCTGCAACAGTCATGATTTCAGACTGACTAGCTCCAGAAGTTGGTTGAGAGCATGTTTTGATTCCAGTGTCACCTGTACATATGCACACACAACCTAGCTCATTTGTGTGGAGGGCCATGACAGGGAAAGTTGCAGCAGAGAGTCTGTGCATTTACCCCCACTTGAAATGTGTACTATTTTCCATGCAGTTACAAATGAGAAATGACTGCAGATTACTAGTAACACAGGGAAGAAGTCTAAGCTCCGCTCAACCAACTTGGGGGAAAAAATTCAGCCACACATCAAATAAGCAAATAAATTACGCATAATTCTTAAAAACCTTAACTCACAACACACATAGATTCATACATCTATCCATTTACTGCACACGTAGATTAATACATCTATCCATTTACTGCATACCCATGGCGCTTGAGTGGCAGTTGTTTGATTAAAACAATTGCATTCACACAATACACACATACATATATGTATTCATGGAGATATAATTGTAACACTTGGACAAAAAGCTTCCCATTTGTGATTTGGCCCAAAGTCTTCCCTGATTTATCAAAGGCAAACATATTTGTGAAACCTAAAAAAAACTAAATTAAAAGATAATATTTAATGATAGTAGTTTTTAAAACAAATATACTTAATGATAGAAAATAATTTTAAAACAAATAGACTCGTGTCTATGTTTGAATTAATTAAGCAATTACACTATTTTTAAATATTTTTTTGGTTTTTCGAGACTTGGGAAGCTGTCCTGGAACTAGCTCTTGTAGACCAGGCTGGTCTCGAACTCACAGAGATCCTCCTGCCTCTGCCTCCCGAGTGCTGGGATTAAAGGCATGAGCCACCAATGCCCGGCTAAATATTTTCAAGTATTATTTTTTGAGTAATTCCCAGCCAGGGAGCCAATGCCTGCTTACTGTTTTGTGCTCTCTGCACAATCCAGACTTATTGGGGCTATCAGAAAAATGTACCTCATGCTTTATCCAGGAGCATGGCTATCCTGTGACAAAGGCCAGCCAATAAGCCCCAAAATTACAGAAAACTTAAGGGAAGAGGCTGGGGGATGGATACTAGGGTGTGTAATGGCTATGGATTTGTTTCCTCACATCATGAAAGCCAGAGCTCTGGTTTCTACCTCTTGAGGTGGGTACCCCAAGCCAGCCTCACTCAGAGCAGACTGGATTATACTGTTTATTCCACACGTCAACACCTCCCCAGGATCCAGCAGATGTCTGCGGCATCTCCAGAAAAAGCACAAAATGTCAGCTGTTGCATCTTACAAAGCAATTTAAAATCTAAAGAGCTAATGAGAAGATGGTCTCACAAGTACATGGGAAGGGAATTTCTGACTGTTTTCTTTATGAGGAGTGTAATTGATTAGTTTTGTCAAAGTCACGCTATTCAATACAATATTGTCTGTGTGGAGTGGAGTAGGGTAGGCTTTTCTTCTCCAATAGTTATTTTCTGACCTTTTGGATGATATTTTCTATAGATGTCAATAAAACACCAGCTCTGCCTCACATGCTGGTGCTTCCTAATGAACAGACCATTTCTCATCATTGGACAGTTACAGAATGAGAGACAGACCACTCAATAATACGCAATTAAGCCTTGAAGATGCCGTTATTTTCATTAGGGAACTTACAAAAGCTTGCAGATGGATAAGACCAACTAATGTGTGTGCACACAGAGCTCCTGGAGAGGAAAAAACAGGCTACAATGATTTCAAAAAGTAACTCCTATGAGCTTTAACACGGCAAACATTTCCAGTATCCAAAGGGATTGGTGAAAGATAATCGCTAGATGTGATTATGCTCTGGCTAGCTTCTCAGATCAGTTGCAGTGCTCATCAAGAGGTTACACTCTGCATATTTATATAGCAAAAAAAGGTATTTATACTCAGGAACATGCCAGAGGCTTAAAATGGAAAGTTTCTGAAATATCTCATCCTGGTCGATGACTCAGGCCTATGAAGCACACCTGTTTTGGAAAATTCAAGGGCTGCTTAACACCTAGAAGGGAAAAAAGATTCAGTCAGAGAGCTCTGAAATGTTGCCTTCCCTGTTCAGTTGCAGTCCTTGGCCTCAGGAAAATAGGAGTGGTCTACCAGTTCTCTAATTCTCTGAGGTTGTTTTGGAGTATTCCCTTATTTTAAATTAGGTATCAATGGATTAGTATAAAGGGCCATCTCCTGGGCACCTAGGGAATCCTCAGGACCACCTCCAACTGTTAAGGAAGAGGAAGCCTTGACTCACACCCATCACCTGAATACCCATAACCACTTATGTACTGTTATATGCAATGCAAAGGGGAAGACACTAATGTTGATACAGTTATGGCAAAGCCAGCATTCAAACTCAGGTGGATCCAGCTTCAAAGTCTCTCCTTGCCCCTTGGCTGTGCTCTTATGAAACAAAATCAACAATCCCCAGGAGAGCTCTCCGGTGTTTGTTGAATTTAGTGCTACAGACTCCAGCTAATCTTTTCAAACATGGAGATTCCTTGGAGAAAGACGTTGGTCAGTATCTACCTCCTTTGAACAGATCAAGGCTGTGGTCAGACCCCACTTCCTGGTCCATTATCAACAAATAGCTCTCAGCTATTCTCAGCTATCTCTCTTTGCTACCCCAGAGAAGAGGGGCATCCCTATTTTGTGATATTGTAACTATGGCGTCCCAGAATAGCCAGTGTCCTGTGTGAGAGGAATCTCTACCTTGGTTCTCTTTTGCCACCAGGGGGACCCCTGTTACAAGAGCAACAACCCCAGTAAAATATTTACACCATCATTCAACAAGAAACTCTTTTCCTCTCTTCAGTTCCCATGTTTACTCAGTCACTGCCACTTGTCACTCCCTTTGCCCAGCCACCATCTTCAAATCTCTCTCTCTCTCTCTCTCTCTCTCTCTCCTCTTTCTTTCCTCTTCCTC